GGTGCGTGATGATATGGGTTGGTTGAAAGCGAACAGTGGAAGGGAATGGTTACTACGGGTAGTAAATGAGATAAACTGAAACCGTACCAAGCGAGTAGCAGTCCAAACTTCATGCTTTTGAGGGGACAACAAATGCACCAAAAGAAAACTTGCCAAATAGCACTACAAGTATATTATCAGGCCCGTCGCTAGGACATCGAAGAGGGGGGAGGGGTTCGTTTTTCTACCAATCTTAGTTATGCCACAACGATATCTTGATAAATATTTTATTGATTATTAATCTTACAAAACAATGATTTAAACTTTTATATGCTATACCCTATGAATAATATGCAATATTTTAGGCTACGTACACTGATTTCGAATAGGACGTTTGCACGATGTCATCATTTGACTCCCACTTCCAAGATGCTTCGCGAAATTTCTTTCTTGTTTAAATTTGTATTACCTCATGAGAATAGTAAGACAATTGGTGCTAATTAATTGAACAAAAGAAAGTGTGCAAGGAAGTCTGGTAGTAGAGGTCAATGACGCCATCGTGCAAACGTCCTATTAAAGTGAACTGACAAGTGTGGGAGCTGCACAATAGCCCTTTCCCAATTTTGGAATTTGCAGAATAATCTTTTTATACACTTTGTAAACTGAAAATGAAGATTTATGTTCACATATTTCAATTTCTGTCGTGACCTTGGATGAATTTGACATGACAAATGTTAAACCTACAGAAAATCATTTATCATGTCAGGTTCATTCGCTATCGTTGGCTGCATGAATGTCTTCTTGGCCAATCAGAGGTGAGATATATAGATTAGAATAATTTTACTTTAGCAAACAAAGTCACTCGCTGATGTCAAATGAACACAAAAGAAAACGATGCAAATATATAAAAGATATATTATTGTACATTTTCCTCGTTATCTCGCTTCTGATTGGGCGCGAGCCTTCATCCAATCTTAACATGATAACCATGCATGTCAAGGGCGGATCCAGGGGGAGGGTCGGGGGGGTCGAGACCCCCCTGTCATTCCTGAGGTCAAATGGGCTTCTTGTGGTAAAAATGCGACTGGGATTCCTTTGCCCACAAAATTTACCCCTGAGACCCCCCCTTCATAAAAACCCTGGATCCGCCCTTGCATGTTTATATTCATGAGGGATATTAAGACTACATGTTCCTCATGATTCATCACTTTATATTCATCTAGAGGAATGTTAGTTTTTAAACGTCTCTCTGCTGGAAATAATAGATCCCGAGGTAATCATGATTCTAATTACATCAGCCTATACCTTAATTCCAAAATCTAGAATTTGAAGTCTTTGAAATTGTGTCTTCATGAATATATAATACACAAAGTTTTACTCGCGTTACAAGCTGAGGCACGCCCATACGTACGATATCCCACCACTAAAAAATAAATATAGCTAGAAATAGTTTTTTCTTAGTTTTATCTTAGAAATAGTTTTATCTTAGTGTATTCTTGTAAATAGTTCTTAAATAGTTCTTAGCTTTTATAGAGTGGTTTTCAAAAACCCGTGAAACAAAGCCCCGTGTAATAACTAAGGTGTAATAAATTGGAATGCACCGAAAACACAAAAGAAAATCAAAAGAAAATGCGGACAATAAAGTGTATTAAAGTGTAATACGCTGAAGTGTATTTGACRGGTTTTTGAAAACCACTCTAATCAATTATTATTAGTGTATATATTGTGTAAACAAATATCCCTTTAAGTCATAGTTAATATTTAACTAGGCTAAGTTCTCCTTGTTTAGTAATTGGATTTGAAATGTAATACGCAATTCAGCCTTTAAGGCTGCGATGTATTTTAAAAACGTATCCAAAGTATCTATCTATCTATAAAGAGGGGCAACTATTTCATGATTAAGACTGTTAATTTTTAAAGATTACGTTCATGAATATGAATATATACCCACCAACCCACCCACCTACCTACCTACCGTAGGTAAGGACTAAGTAAGTTAGTTCACAAAAGCCACTGTATCATTTTCTTAGCCGGCTCAATCATACTTCTATTCTCAATTATGAACACATCTCACTGGTTCTACGTCAACTACACTGGCTTCCTGTTGATAAACGCATTTCTTATAAAATTCTACTCATGGTTTTCAAGTGTCTTCACAACCTTGCACCATCATATCTTGCGGACCTTATCACGAAGTACGTACCTACTAGGGCATTAAGATCTAGCTCTAAGAATTTGTTGGTTGTCCCTCGATCACGCACCAAAGGGTATGGCGATAGGGCATTCTCTGTATGTGGTCCTATGTTATGGAATAATCTGCCTGAATCATTGCGACATGAAACTAATTTGGAATGTTTTAAAAAGAACATAAAGACATATTTATTTTATACCTTTTAGTTTAAACTCTTAGTTTGTTTTATTTTTATTAGGTGTATATAAGTCATATATATACTTTTATCATTTATAATGCATTGTATTTAAGCGCCATTGAACTTTAGGATTTTGGCGCTATATAAATGATTTATTCTATTCTATTCTAATTACTACAGTAAACCTACCGTAAGTATAATAGTGGATCACAGATCCTGCGCTCTGATTGGCTGAGCTACTAGTGGTCTATTATTGATAGACCACTAATAGCGAAAAATGTCGGTTTTGAAAACCAAAACAACAACCTAATTTCAACTGTTTGTATTCATTTAGTATGGCCATTAGTCTTCAAACTCTTCAATGAAAATATAATAGTTTATAAACAGCTAATATAGCTGTATGGCAAAGGATTTCACTTTTCAACATCAAAATACTTAAATAAAACTCAATTCGTTTTGATTCTCTTATCTTCTATTTTATTCATTCATTTTGAAAATGAACCTTAGTTGAATAACAATATCATAAATAGGGAAAAAAGAATTATAGTTCACGGCTATAAAGTAGCACACATATATATATAAATATTGATTAAACTCATCACTAGTAGATAAGCTTGGCGTTAGGTGCTTGTTCGGTGGGATGAGCGGGGCCTGGCACTTAAAACCGCGGTAACCACGGCAAACTTGTCACAACGTACCGTGCAACTGTCACACTGACGGTTTAATCAGTGGAATACTTACCTATGTATATCTACCATAGTGAGGGAGGGCGGGAAAAAAACAAATAACGTCTAGAGTGTGGTTGCCAGAGGCTAGCGATAGCGAATATCGTAATGCAAACAATTGTTGGCAGAATTTAGGGTCAAGCTAGCGTGATCACATGGATAGCGTGCGATCAAGTTGACCCATTAGCAATAAATAGCGTTGATCGATATTGCGGTAATAGGCCATTTGCAGGAATTGATCACGTGTCAATTTGCCCCATAGCAACAAGCCCGTGGTGGGCAAGCCAGGCACATATTCCTTGACAACAATAAGAGTTTGAGTGGCAAAGCGTAGCGATACCAAGACTATAGTGAAGTTTTTAACCTTTGTTCTATTTCGTTTGACCCGATCCTCCGTATAAAGTTGAGAGAAGTGTTTTTTTTAATCGTTGGCGATAATTTTTATCATAAAAATTGGCCGCAGAAGAGAGTTTTTTGTCTTTATTCTGGTCGCCGTGGACCGAAGACGGAATAACGGAATTCTCAGGGATGTTTATGACTCATTCAAACCCCGATTTAACCTCAAAATTTCGCTTCAATTGTCAAAATTCTCTTGAAATGAATGCAGATATACCTACAGATCCTTTTTATGGTAATTAAAACTCATATTTGCTAGCTTTTGATGCCATTACCGATCAAATAGCTCAACCCTGCTTATGACCAAAGATAATGCTAGCGTAATCACCAGAATAGCGTGTGATTGTACTGAGCGTGTGTTTAACGTAAGTAGGTGGCCAGCGGGCAGACAACAAATGGAAACAGCGGCTATCGTAGACTATTCGCTGCTACACAGATCGAGTCTAACTTTGCCTAAATTTCGTTTAACCGCATTTAAATAGTACAAAATGATCAAAATCTACTTACAGAAAAATTAGGATATTCAAAGTTACAAAAATTGCGATACTTATGTAAGTTAATGTTTTAATCATGATTCAGTATTGTCATCCAAAAGGGAAGACAGTCCAAAAGAAAAAAACTGGGTTTATGACATTTGGACTGTCTTTTCTGTACTTTGAATATAAAGAAATATATTTATGAATATTAGCATGTATATACACGCACATATATATATAAAATGGGGTGAAAATATAGTCATTAATAAAGTGCAAAAGTACAAGAATCTAATTGATGGTTTTCACGGCGGCCATGTTGGAGGAACTTAATAAAAGAATTGCCAATTAATTCTTTTGTTATATCCTCCAACATGGCCGTCGTGTCTTTTGTTGGGAATGGTTGAAAACCATCAATAGAAATAACATTTTCAAGTTATAATAATCTATTGGTGTAAGGATTGAAAATAATGAATTTATCTAAAATGGCCTAACATGTGTCCTCGGTCAAAAGTGATTCTTATTGGTTCCGCCTGCAGCTGTTAATCTGAAATACGATTTTAATCATTGTCCGATGGTTAAATAAATTCAAAAGTTAAAGGGGAAAAAAGCAAGGATTAAATGCAAAGGACAAAGAAAAAATAATAGGAAATTGTGTGAGAGAGTTTTTAGTTTAGATTTTCTAGATATTTTATGGAACTTATGGAGAAGCCTTTTTGCCTCGTCTCATTATTATCCTATTTCATAATATAAATATTATTTTTTGGTTATTAATTACAATATTATTAGATAATATTTTTTCCCCCAGTTATTTATATCAGCTGGTGATTGCTTCTAGCTTCCAAATAAGTTAGAGCTGGGGAAAAAAACAAGGCAAAAAGCCTCAAAAAAAAGGGGRAAAAAAGAACAACGATTTTAAACGAAACTTTAGAAAAGAAAACAAAAAGCAAACAAATGAATTTGAAATTGTTAATTTTGATTTTGATTGTAATTTTCGCTATTAAACTAGCGAAAAAAATCGAACTCCGAGAAAGAAACCTGAAAATGGTCAGTTTTCCCTATTGTTTCCTAAAAACGCATCTCGCATTTTTCCACAACGCCAAAACATCAGCTCTAATCTCACTATTCATAAACCCATAAATAAAGGGATTTATGACTGACTGAATTCCAGCAAGAAAGCGAAACGAGAGAAAGGCCGTTCGAGGGACTGACTTTGGATCCAATGCGAACCAGGTCCAGACTACATAAGTGGGGCCACATCCTATAACGTAGGCCGTAAACAATAGACTAATGATAACATTGGCTTTCAGCTCTTTTTTCAGTTCTACTAATTTGCACGTCTTGTTTTCATTATGTTGCTTTTTTTTCATCTTGTTTGAGCCTTCTTCTTGTTGGATTTGTTTTCGGTTAAGCTGCCTTTTGTTTTCGTGATGGCAGCTGCTTTTCTCGACTGAACTAACCGAAATCTCATGATCTTTATCGTCAGTAGTTGAGAGTTCTGTTTGCTTTTCTTGTTCAATACCTTGAATAACGACTCCCGGCATTTCAATTGATTCGTACTTCTGCTCATTAACCCTGGCTGTTATTTCAATGTCATCTGGGTTATTTGTGGCTCCCTCGTCTTCAAAACTTTGATTCACGAATTCATCAGGTTTCTTTTTGTTTTCCTCGTTGGCCATTGCAACAAAGTCCTGAATAACGACTGCCATTTCATCTGATTTGTGCTGCTGCTCATTGATCCTGGCTTTTATTTTGATATCATCTGGGTTATTTGTGGCTCCTTCGTCTTCAATACTTTGATTCACGAATTCATCAGGTTCTTTTTTGTTTTCCTCGTTGACTATTGCCACAAAGCCCTGAATAACGACTGCCATTTCTTCTGATTTGTACTGGTGCTCATTAATCCTGGCTTTTATTTTGATATCATCTGGGTTATTTGTGGCTCCTTCTTCCTCAAAACCATGATTTACAAATTCTGTTTCTTTATTTTATGGTTTTCTCGTTGACTCTCACCTCAAATGCCCTGGTTCCCTTGTCCATGTTACCTAAGTTTCGGTTGTTGACACTAGCATATTTATTTGGCAGGACATTACCAGTATTTCTCTCATTATCTACAGAGCTGGTACACTCTCGCTCCCCTTTATTTAAAAGACTTGTCTCCTTCTTTTCTGGTCCTCCTGAGATTCTACCTTTTTTCGCATCGCGAATTTTAAAATTTACCAGCCTTAAGGTTCGTGCAAAGATCCATGCATTTAAGGTCAAAGGTATGGCAAAAGCCAGCAGTAGATGAGCAAACCAATTAGACATGTGTTCAGAGGAGTCCAACGCACAATAGCACTGCCCCTTTATCACTGTGTACTTGCCCCATCCAAGAACAGGAGTCAGAGACTGCCAAAAGGTTATCACCCAAGCTCCAATGCACACCCTTTTGGCTTTAGTAGCTGTTACACGGACACGATATTCTAGAGGTTTTAACAAACTGTAGAAACGACTTAGAGACATCACCGTCAATAGGTGCATAGAGACAGCAGTGGTAAAACGGCCAATAAAGGCACCGACTTGGCATAGCAGTGAAGAAAACGCCAGTTTCTGGTCAAAGTAGGATAGGAAGAGGTATGGACCGTTAGCTAGAAATACAACCATATCAGAGAGAGCCAAATGAAAAAGGATTGTGTTGACAATCGACCGCTGTGGTTTTCGGAGTAGGACGAGAAGGATAGATCCATTCATGAAACAGCCACTAAAGCAAATGGCGATGGTTGATACCAACTTGAACGTATGGCTGACACAGTGAACTGTGTCATCACTTGCGCTGTATTGAAGGCTCGAGTTACTGGACGACATTTTTGGAATTTGCGAGTAAAACAGCCGGCTTCGCAAATATGATAACTTGAAGCGCAACGAACAGATACTTTAAATGATGTTCAATTTTAGCCAAATGAACATTTGTTCAAAAATTAGGCATACATTGTGTCCGTCGAACTAATCCTAGGACGCAAAAATGTGCTTAACCAATCAGAATGCGTAGCAAAAGCGCTGGATAATGACATCAATTTACTGGGTTACTTAGCCGGTTGTGAACTTAAATTATATCCGTTAATGGAAAACATCCAAAAAATATTAAGCAATACGAATAATCAGTAATTTCTTGAAATCGTGATAGAGCAAATGCTGGCTAAATGATTTTATCTTCAACTAAAAAATATGTTATCTCTGACTTTATCTTTAAATGGTTTAAAAAATGAACGATTCGTTTTTATGTGATTTTATAATTAGCTTTCTTTTGTGCATCGATGTTTCACGCGCGCAACTTTCGCCTTCTTTTTCAAATGGATCTTTATACAATTCCTACTATTTTTGTATATAGTAAATAAAATTCAACTCAACGCACATGAAAGACAAGATTCGGTCTCGGTGATTAAGTTTGGTAGGTATTCAGCTGATCTGAAATAGAGCTTGTTTAAAAGTGTCACGTAAACCGAACGAAAAACGACTTCCGAGTCCAAATTCATCATTACTTCTACAGACATTTTTCTGTGTTTTTTTTTCTTTTTCATAGCAGGATTTTCTGTTCACATATCTAATTGTTGAAAGTAAAGAATAAATCCTGGTGAATAAGTATGGCAAGATTTTAGCGATCTTTTGTTTGATTGGACCCGGAAATACGTCAATACTAAAAAAGCCCTATAGTGACGTAAAAATGATGTCACTGCAAGACTTAGGTGTCATGAAGCCCGTGAAAATTGCCTTGCAGAGAATAATTTAAATCGTCCGCCATTGTCATATAAATATAAAACGCATTAGTTATTATTTTACTGCATTTTATCAACCTCAATTCGAGTGGGCATGCCAGTGCATTGTGAATAGTTTAATCAATCCCACAATGCAATGCAAAATCGACCCAGTTTATTCCTCAACCTCGGAATGGCTAACGAGAAAGAAAAAATCCGTCGCATCCGCCGATGCCGATTCTTAAAGTTGTGACGCATTTCCGGGTCCCACTGCTCACGAAAATCGTGAAAATATAGCGGATAAAAAAGAGTTTTCTATGATATATTAACCTCCACCCAAAACAATTATTTGTTTATTTATTAGCTTTTCCCATGAGGGCAGGGAAACCTCAACAGCTTTTTGCCAATTACAGTGGGCCCCGTAGAGTTTAGCACGGGCATCGAAGATGATCGTCACCAGCGCCTTCAGTGGGTCTTTTACGTCCGCCTTATACAGGGTTATATAGTGAATACTGACGGGGTTTTAAGTCCTTTTTCGAGAAGATCTGAAGGTCTAACCATTTGCTGCTGTAAATACAAAGGCAGCTGCATCTTCTCCTCAGTTATTTTAAGAACCTGAGTTTTGGTCCGGGCGAGGCTTGAACCACGACCTCCCGCTCTTACCAACTGAGCTAACCGGGTGGCGGTAAACTTAAAACTTTGGACAACAAATCCTGCAATCGTGCTTCTTTTTCTTTTGCTTATGAAGTACAGGTCACGCGGACTATCTAAGGTACATAATAAAAACGTACAAAGTTAGAAATCAATTAGGGAAAACAGCCCTGCTTTATTAGCCAATCAGCATCAAGTAATCTTGCCCTGTATGCCGTGATAAACCATATAAAACCCGAGTACACCAATTTTATACGAAAATGTTTTTTCCCCAAGACTGCCATTATTTCGTTATTTCCTGTAATTGAATCCCCTTAAAGCGAAGGCAAAGCGTCCTGCGTAAAGATCTCACACGTCTCATCTTTGCCCAGTCCAAACACTCCAACTCTTGGTTTTACGGGACATATTGACAAGATGGCGTCTATTTCGTCCCCAACCGCGTTCCAAGGCGCCGCCATCTTGAAAAAAAAAAAAAGCGAGAAGAGAAGGCCCTGGGAACGAGGTTGTTTCGTCCCCAAAAACAGCCACAAAATGCACTGCCATACCAACTCAACCCAGTTTTCCTCAACCTTCGAATGGCTAATATTATAGGATCGAGTGACAACTAGCTCGATAAGGAAAAAAATTAGGTTATTCTTATCGATGATCAGAATTTATATCTAAGGAATCAAAAGGGACTTTGCACTTGTATGGAGAACCGTCTTCAGTATAGTTCAAACAATATATCCGTGAAACACTAATTACTAAATTGTTCAAAATAGTGCTAGTTAAACAAAAGGAAACAATAGAATTAGCATAAAATAGCGTAAGTTAGTATTACTAATATTTCACGGATAGAGTGCTCAMACTAAATCCGTGAAACAAATACTAATTTTTAGCACYAAATAGTGATAATTAAACAATAGAAAACAAAGGATTCTGTATGAAATAGTACTAATTAGTACTACTTAATGTTCACGGTTTTAGTGCGTGCACTCTATATTGTTTGCACTCTATATAAACTGTACTCTTTCTACAAAAAGGTCTCATTTAGCGCACGCGTGTTGCTATTTTCTTCTGAGATAATATATTTCGCTGTTATGTTAAATACGATGATTCATCAGTGTTCATAGATGCACAATGCGTGTATTTTCAGTATTTCAGTTCAGTATTTTCAGTTTTCAAAAGGTTTACGTACTCTCCAATAAATTCCGATTGATCATCGCTGTCCTTATTAACATATTTTACATTTATTCTGCAAAGCAAAATCATCTAATTTCTTTGCGAGTCAGACGAATTTAATTCAATTCCTCATGCGTATTCATTCCCCTTAAAGTTGATTGGCTTACATTTCTGACGTCATCGACTTTCGGTATTGTGATTGGTTCACGCCGATAACATTGTAATTCCAGAGGGAAATACATAATATGAAAAGAAATTCATTCCATTGAGGCTTTGGTCGGGAGTACGCGTCGCTTTGATTCCCAAATCATTGACTTATTCTTGTTAAAACACCCTTCAAGGAATACAAAAACTAATCTTCGATCAAAATGGTAAGTGCAGATTATTTTCTCTAGTTCATTTTACCTCGTAATCTAGTCAATATTTGTAACAATTGTACGAGGAATTTTAAATGTACAAGGAACCGGTGAACCTAATCAATAATATTCGCTCTAAATCCTTTTAATTTCTTCCAGCGTGAATGTATCTCAGTACACGTCGGTCAAGCCGGTGTTCAGATCGGTAATGCTTGTTGGGAGTTGTACTGTCTTGAACACGGCATCCAGCCCGATGGCCAGATGCCCAGCGACAAGACGATCGGCGGTGGTGATGATTCGTTCAATACTTTCTTCAGTGAAACCGGTGCTGGGAAACATGTTCCAAGAGCTGTGTTCGTAGATTTAGAACCCACTGTTGTAGGTAAGAATACAAGAACCCTATCTATCGCTAAAAACAGTTGAGACGATTGAACGAATAGTATTGTGTAATACGTACTATGCATTAATATTCGTCTTGCTAGGAGGGTCGCTTGTTTGAAAGACTGATAACCGGGAGCTTGACTCGCGCAACTTAAAATTTATTTATACTAAGGCAAGACTTGGTCATTCGAAAATCTATAGACAGCTGACTGATTAAGTCATTAGTTTAGTTCTGCCACCCATTTTTACCGAAAAAAATATTGGGAAGCGATAGCTTTCGTATCGATAACATTTTTACACATATCTCTATGTATTCGTGATGTATAAATCAAATTCTAAATTCCTATAGGAAATTCAGTCGATGAAGAGCCACTCTGTGAAAATTCCACTGCTAAAATCTTATATTCATTAATTTTTCCTTTTAAAGAATGATTTTGTTGCAAAAGATCTTACATTTTTCATCTCAACCGAGATGAAGTGGCATTTTCAAAATACAGGGCGTCAACGAGTTTCGAAAATACTAAAATTTCCATTTAATTTCAATATTGAAGAGGGCTTTCAAAGAATTCATAATTTATTGCAGGTAGACTTAATCTCTGTCAACCCAGGTGATAACTCCCATAATACAAATAAAATGAGATTTCAATGTTTGCCGATGTATTTTTATAGAATTATCGGCTGGCGATGTCAGTAAGGAACGTCGGTTCAATTTAAAATATTTTCCACTTTGTTGAAAAGCCATTTTTGGGAACTGGCGTTGCGATCTACGGATCTTAAAAAGACAAAATGACAGCTGTTGTCTTTTAATAATTTTATGCAGAAATAAAAGCGAACGAGTGTAAATCAAGATATAAGCCAACAATACACGAATAATTTCCTTTTAATAGCAGTATTTCATTTTCCTTTAAGATTTTTTTTCTTATGTGTATTCAGCAAGTAGGAACGCGGTTGGGTTTAATTTCGTCTCGTATCTGATAGAAAATTCGGACTATTTTTATCGCATGATGTTTAGAATCATTTACCAGGAAAGAACACACATTGGTTGGAAAGCTATTGTTCAAAACGAATTAATTCTTCTGTATTCTGTAGTTAAGTATGTCGATTGTATGGATCTTGATTTTCATTTGATCAAGAAAATAAACGCAAGAATTGCTGGACGTTTCGATGACATCCTGTCATCATTTTCAACAACATTTAATGACAGATCAAGAGGGATTTACTGTATGACAAAGTAAATATGTGTACATATTCAAACAAAAAGGTTTTGCTTTCACTGAGTCTGATTGCAAAGTTCAGGGTTCAGTCGATTGTCTTAGGAAAAGGGATGGTAGTTTTCGTTGTTAGCAAAATAAAGTTGTACAGAATGTTTTTATTCAGATGGACGTCTAAATGTCATTACGATAAAATTATATGGAATCAACTGATTGGCTTATAAAGTAATCGCACAGAGTGATGTCAATGAAAATAATCGGTTTGTGTTTTCTTTTTCGTTGTCTAGATGAAGTTCGCACCGGTACTTACAGACAACTGTACCACCCTGAACAACTAATCACAGGCAAGGAAGACGCTGCTAACAACTATGCCCGTGGTCACTACACTGTTGGGAAAACTATCATTGATCAAGTTTTGGATCGAATTAGAAAACTGGTAAGCCAAATTTCTGGAAGTTAGGGGGCAGTTTGGAAAAATTGTGTTTGGGGGAGGGAGAGGGGTTCCTTGTTTTACGAGTGTAGCACTTAATACCCAGTGGTTCATTGATGAAACTGCACAGGATTGGAATTTATAAGTATATTTTTTGCGGAGCGTCGACGGAGGAAAATCGGAGAACCTCGTAGAAAAACGCTTAAATAATTAATCACAGGAGAGAACCAGCTAGAAACTCCACGTACATAACATACCAATACCAGTTTCTCATGGTCGTTTCTCGATAGTGAAAGTGCAGGTCATGAAATATTTGGGCAACAGTTAACATACCTGAATGTCGTAAATGGCCATAATAAATTACGTTTGTAAATTCTCCTCCCCAGGCCGATCAATGTACAGGTCTCCAAGGATTTCTCATATTCCATTCTTTTGGTGGTGGTACTGGTTCTGGATTCTCCTCACTTCTTATGGAACGTCTCTCCGTTGACTACGGCAAGAAGTCCAAGCTAGAGTTCGCTATCTACCC